CTCCACGGAGGAGTCCAAGGCCCTAACAACTCGCCCATTTCATCTCGACCATCTCGTCCCAGTCGACACCGTCCGACACCATTGGCCCACTGTTTCAGGAAGATTAGTCTTTTTTGCGCCGTCTGTGGCGGACGCAAATACTCTCACGGTGGAAATCACGTGCAAGACGATTTGGTTGGTCCATTGCCCGCCAGCCGTATGCAACTTTCACTTTCTGTCCTTTTACACATAATTCAGTTTCCCGATGAGTCAAAGGTCTCGCTTGCAGCTTCAGACCAAATATCAGGTTCCCCCATATAGTTGCACCTGTGAGAACGTCGGTAGTCGTCTCCACGTATGAGAATCGGTGATGAAATAGCCGGCATCTTTTCAATTTCGGAAAGGCTATCATGTGATATCAGCGCCTTTAACTCAGTTCTATTACATGCTAATTTTAAGCTTACGTACACATGCATGCATAGGACTAGTATGAAAGAGGGTACGGACGCAACTTTTGAAACCGCTGACCCGCCAGCATCTGACCCACAAGAACTCGCTGGCCGCACACGGGTTAAGATCGAGATGCATGTTTTGCTAAGCGTATTACTGCGTTCCTGACCTGCCCTTGTCACGTCACACACTGAGCAGTGTACGGTAAGATTCCTTACGTCATCGGGCGATAGCCAGTTCCGTAAGAGCGCTACGCTTATCAGTTGTCCGACCGACTTTTGCGGGGCTGACTCGACGTCAGCTGCTCGCACCTTGGCCAGACGCCTTTATGCCACAGTGGCGACCGCGCGCATGACTGGCAAATTTATCAAGGAAATCGTTACTAAATAGACCAAGCTAGTGCGTGAATCCTGAAACGTGCAAACGATGGCACGAGAAAGCGGTCGACGGTGGCGAACATCAGTTACTGTAGGTGTCACCGCAGCTGCGCCTGCCGGCTGCGCGCTCCGAAGTCGCCGGGCGAGGCGCACCCGACTCTGAGTTACGCCCGCGGCGCAGACGGCCCGTGACCCCGGTTCGATTTCAACCGCGACCTTTCCAGAGAGGACGGCTCCAGGAAGGCCTTCAATCCAGCTTTCCAGGAAACAAGAAGTGCTGTGCTGTTGCAGGACGTCCCATCTCTCCATCCATGAGTGAGACATGGAAGCCCTTGCTGCTGTATGCTGGTTTACAAGAAGCACAGGCGGAACCTTGTTCGAAATTTCATTGGGGAAATGTGTGGAGCCTGATTGATCTGGAACGCTATAGAGCCAGGTTCCGAAATACTGCAAGGTCTGTCATGCTGCCACAAAAGGTATGCTTGTCGAAACCCCCATTTGGTTGGTTGCTGAAATGTATTTCGAAGCTTGAACAAAATAACGCCACTTATCCAGTCTCAACCCAGTTTGAAGCCGGCTGATAGACATATTATGAAACGCCATTTCAGCCATCGCGTCGGCAAAAAAAACTCACCCAGAGTTCCCAGCCACTTCGGGGAGCTGCTGCCGCGGCCAGCCGTGGCTGCTGAGCCATGACCCGACCTCTGCTGGGCCTGGTGCGGGCCCGGTCTGCTCGTCATGAGGTGCTGTGGTGTGCCGGGTACTAAAGACCGGTGGCTCACATTCGTTCCGTACAGCATATGGGGAACGGGCCAGTAGTTACTCATCTGTGCGTAGTGGGGAATGGTGTTGGTTACCTATCTGATTAGAAGCGGATGGTTTGGGTCACTCACATTCATGTGGTAGGCAAACGTGCCAGCAATATAATGTAATCAAAGGCGCCCGAGCCACCTTGAGGCGAGTGGCCAGCAATATAATGTAATCAAAGGCGCCCGAGCCACCTTGAGGCGAGTGGCCAGCGCGATCAGGCAGATAGTGTTGGTTACTCATCTTTACGTATTGGCGCAGGGAGCCAATATTATAATCTAATCAGAGGTGGCCTGCTCACAACACGGAAAGTAACCAACGTCATCAAGCGGATGGTGATAGCTATTCACATTTTTTGACGACTAATGACGCGTATTACCTGCTGTGATGCCATAGCAGAGGCTGTTGGCCACTCACCGCGACGTGAAAGCAGAGGGTTCTGGTTATCCGCACTGTTGTAGCATAATAATTGGGTTGGTTACCCACCCTGATGTAGCTTTGGGTGGTGCTGGTTACTAGAGCACTTAATGGGTTGGGCGTTATGAATCCAGTCCCGACCGGCCTGACAAAAATGGTCTTAAAAGAAATCCACCCAAATCCGTGTTCAAGTTGTTGCTCTCGTTACCACCAGCAAATAAATATGGCACATCTCAGTATATTCCATTGCTTCTCTTTTGAACACATCCCATGCCAGTGCTCTGACCATGCAGTGTAATTACGGCAGTGCAAATTTTCCAACACTTGGACCTGGGACATTTACCCCTCACCGCTGGGGTAAATGTCCCACCGCTGTCACTACAGATGATGGTAGGTATCTGAAAAGTGCTGGGTATGCGGCAGAACAGTTAAAAAACAAACTTCATGCATCATCTCAGCTATGATCCGCAATGCAACTTCTGTCTTGATCCCCTGCCAGAATAAAGTGCCGAAATTTAACTACCTGTCCCTTTCAGCCGAAGAACTGAAGAGCAAATCGTAACGCCTTCATAACATATGGCCTTCGCGGTCTACGAGCTAAATACAAATACTTGCTAGTCTTGCTGCTGGTAAGGCTAGCAGCAAGACTAAAGGAGCAACAAGGTTAGAACCATGCCATTTTAAAGCATTGGTTACCTAACGAGCTGCACCACTTTTGAATTCTGATGTGCTGTCAAATCCATTCAAACTCTGTCGGCACACATATCTGCGCTACTGATGGATACACATGGTTATATGTCATTTTGGCATATCTTTACGTTGTAAACCTATGCGTTTCGCAACATTGCAGCATTCTTTTTTACACGTTAAGATCACAGTTTACAATGAATTAATTACAGGTGAACGCTCTGTGGTCTTCGACAAAAACGGATGGTTAAACGCTGTGTGCATGTCATCCTGAATGAACATGCAATTTTTTTACAAATATCGGGGTACAAGTAAAAAACTGCATTGGCATCGACTCTTGAAGAGAAAAAATCTGAGCTAATGGTGACCTCAATATGTGAAGGAAAATTATGTTTGATAGATGCTCAGTTCATATTGTCCCAGCGACGTAATATTGTCCGTCCAAGCCACATCTCCAGCCCACCGTATTCACCGATGGAATACTTCTGACTCATATGGAACCCTAATTTCTATTGATAGTTTCATTGAAGGGTTGAGCAAAATGGATTATCCATCAGTACATGGATATAGTTCATTACATCGGTTAGTGATTTTCGTGGAACGCAGGGCATGACTGTGGCCGGGGACGGGTCGTGGGGCTCTCGGGATTGCTGTGCTTTGAAGGTCAGAGCGGGTCATTGGATTAAAATGGTCCAGATCAACCTTTCATGTTTAGGGGGGTATGCCGCATCGTAATCCGGAACGCTTATTCAAATTCGGAAAATCAAGACAACCTCTTACGTTTGTGGGTATCATGACCTCCTAAAGGCAAAAGAGGTCACTGACGTAAAAGGCACATCAGTGGTCTTTTGCTTAGAACAGCTATCTAGGTTTAAGGCCGTTGCATGAGAGAACAGCTATCTAGATTTAAGGCCGTTGCATGAGAAGGTCTGACGCACTTTCGACATCAATCCTGAGTTTGAACTAGTTTGACCTCATTCCACCCAAAGGTTTGACACATGGACCTCAGATTTCGACACAACTGAGGTCGCATGCAGACAAACCCATTCCGTGAATTCGGTGCTTCTAGTTCGTTTATTTTTTGAGATGTGGGGGGAAGAGAAAAGTAAACTCCCAGTCGAGCGAATGGCATTTAACCGCCCACCCAGGTGCGTGTAAAGATAACGCACCAGGTTAATCCGTGCGTGGGACATGTATTCCACGTATTTCATGACACAATGACAATTGGAAACAAGTTGTGGTAGAGAGTATTGTCGGGGACGGTATCGAAGCAATCTATAACAATATGGATGGGGCGTACATTTGGAAATGTGACAGCATATTATCTGCACAGACATCTGCGATTTGGTGTAAATATTTTTCAATGACTTAAGCAATTGCAAAATGTTTGAAAGGCTCGAGATATCTCCAGGTCTGGTGTGAGGTCAGCCTACTTTCCTTTCATTATTTCTTCCAGTGCAAGCTAGCCAGGAACATGAAAAGATGGGCCTAATTTCAGTTTTAACGTCGAAGCGTTATGCAAGGTCCACAGGCATTGGTACAAATCACAAAAAAAATATTAGCTGCTTGCAGGCCTTATATGTTTTTGTGTTCGGGTACCCACTACGAGGTTAATGCTGATTAAGAATATGGATCATGCAATTCTACCTCATTGCTACTAATCAGATGGGTAATGGTCTAACTACATACAATGCTTTCACCGTGTTTTTTTCGGTGTAGTGATATCAATCAGTCATGCATTACCATGTCATTTGCACAAATGCAGAAATCGACTTGGTTATCATCTCTCAGACCGCTGATGTTAGTCGTAATTAGCCCCCTTTATGGGAATTGTGTACTTAGTGACATGCTTATCACGAAAAATATAACGTATTTTGTATGACCTTTTGCGGGAGTGAACATTTTTGTACGATTGAAACTTCTTTCATTGGAGTGCCGTAATGGGTGTTGTAACTCCCGCTACGGTTTTTCAAAACTGACCTCCGAGCCGTTCAACTCCTGTCAAATGAAATGTGCATGTGCTGAAATCCGAGTTGGTATTATCCTCGTGTTGCCCGCGTTTTTTCACCCGGCTCAATCCGCCCCGGGGAACCATTCACCATTCGCGGACTGATCCAATTCGCGAAGCACTTCATTTGTTACCCGCCGTGATGTAACGGTTGGTTTTGGTTACCCATCCTGATTGAGCAGTAGAGGGTGCTGGTTACCCATGTCGATACACGTAGCGGTGGATGGTGCTGCCTACGTACCCTCATGCAGCAGAGGACGACGCTGGCTTCTCACCTTGATGTAATATCGGATGGTACTGGCCTTGCTCTCGAACGAGCAGGGGAGCGAGCTCTCCGGCAGCTGGAACCGGAACGGAAACGTGTGGAAGCCGCGTGGCAGGATCGGCACGTTCCCCTCCGGCTTATCTGGAACGGAGAGCAGAAAGACTCCAGGGGACTGCAGAAAGCGATCAAGGAACACAGCTTTGGCCATCCGAGACTGCACCCAACTTCGGCTGCTGAGTCAGGGTCGATTCAGGGCACGTTTTGAAAGCAGAGTCACACTATGGTAATGGAGCCAAAACGGGCAACGTCAGCACGGAAGGCCTTTCTATTTATAGCGTCGTTGTTGGAATTGTAAAGAATGGAGTCATTGCATTGCTCAAAGGCATATATATCAACACTGGAATGTCTCGGACGCATAATGCATATTTGAGAGAGACTGCCGAATAAAACGTCGATGATTTGATTCCACAAGGACCAAAATCGTGTGCTGCACACTTAAATCTTAATCTTAAGATGAATGATCTCATGTGATCTTATCTAATAATCTTAAATGAATTCAGTAGAAGTGTATGAGGTGCCACGGCCGGTTAGGGAACTTTAAGCCTTGTCGGCTTTCACAAATTCGTGGGCTAAGCGGCAGATAATATTTATGCTAATCAATTACCCCAAAAGTTTATAATATACGGTTGCTCATCTAAACGTGTTTTGAAGGCATTCCCACAAGTATGCGGGATCCCTTTAACCGCATATGACACCAAGACGTGGGCTAAGCCTGCTTTCTGTTGCACGGAGTGGAGTCGTTTCACACCTCGCAGAGGAAGTAGCATAACGGAGCGTCGTCCGGCCTCCGTTAAAGGGAAATATAGGCATTTGTATATAGCCATCACTTCCGAATAGGTCAGATTTCCTCCGCATTTATATATCTACTATCCCCCCTTTAAGTGAATTTTCTTTATGCATGCCTGGCATTGGGATCCACATACCGTAGCCCTGACCGCTGCAGTCCTATCCGTAACAGGCTATCAGTCTTCTGGCCTGTTCGCTGCGCCCCGGCGCAAACAAAGCACTTACAGAAGATGAGACATAATACCCTCTGTAGATCATACGCCGCCATGGTGCTTCTGCCGGGTCTATTGGAAATCGGGGACTGGGTTAATAGAAAAGCACCGGGTGGAAAGGTCGTGATCGACATTATTTGTCACAGGCATCGGCCGCAGACAACGCAGTCGATCGGCATCAATAATGCACCGAACAATAAATGATTCAACCAACGTCATCACCAGGTCACGCGGCGAAACATACAGTCGACAATGTCATGTCATGCGACGGAGCGGGATTCAAGGGGAAGGAACCGTGTCCCTTCACGGCCGCATGGGGGTGAAACAGAGATGCAAGAGACCCTAGCTCACGGCTCAACCGAAAGGATCATACCCGTTACTGGAAACGAGCCTTATCGGCTTTTTGCAGAAGCATTCAGGTCATGGCCCTCCACACGGCACGGGGTGAGTAAACGGCGTCATTCTTCAGCTCGGCCTCGTTTCAGCGCCCCAAGAACAACTGCCACTGGAGCCTACAGGCACGAGATGACGACATGGCTCCGAGGTCAAGGGAAACGCAGTGGCCCTGCTCATGTGATTCTTCCTCGACGCTTTGTGGTCACTCAGAGGCAAGTCGCCTGAAATATTCCCAGTTTGTGCGACGCTTCCGTCACGGTGTCAGCCGTGACGGCTGACACCGTGACGGTGTCAGCCGTGCAGTCAGTTGTCGTCGTGCTTCTGTCCACTCGAGCATTGCCGTGTATCCCCCACAAGAGGAGTTCGCTATCCAGCCAGAAGTCGAAAGCCAACAGCGATACACGAAAACTGCTCGCCCATGGCGGCTAATGGCCCGCGTCCAAACTGCGGCCGTTGAGTCTCGGCGCCCATCTGCAGTGAGTTCTAGCGGCGGTGCTCGCAGAGTCGGTCGTCGGCCAGTGACGTCCAGTGGCACTCGGCTGTAAATGGAGTGTCGCCGGGCTCGCTCGGCGGTGTCGTTGCCGGGTCCGGGCGGCTTTCGGAGGCTGCCTTGGACGGCGGCTAATCCGGGACAAACTCATGGGCATGGCCGACGCCTGGTCCTCCGCCACGGCGCTCGAGTAGTTATTAGGCGTGTGAAGTACGTCGTAGTCCTGACCCAGACACGTGCGTTGACTAAGAATGGTGTAGCCAGTTCAAAGACGCAAAACTACAATTTACATTGCAAAGGCTTCGTTAATTTTGTATCTTGGTGTTCTGATTCTTATGTTCATTTTCAAGCACTCCAGCTTTGGTGAGCCAGAATTCTCTGGCCACCAAATTAAAAATATAATGGTTAATAAAGCCACAGACTACAACTTACCCTGCCCTAAAAGACGTCATCTAGCTAAGCAGACGGCGGAAAGCAGCTCACTTGATTACGCTTTGCGTTTGAAGAAAAAAAACTACAGGTTTTCCTTACTTAGAAAAGACCGTTTCCAAGAGGAACGACCGTGAATCAAGCCGATCTGTCCAGACACTAGCTCCTGGTAGGCCCCACGTGGAAGAGCAACCAGAGGCCCTTCTGTGGTGAATACGCTCTAACGCTATATGGGCGAATTCCCACATCCAACCAATACCGCTTGGGGTGAATGCGAAGAGCCCGCATTTTCCGCATTGGCTAGGATCAGTCGAGCAATGCCCGTCGAACACTTGATATTGATGTCATGATTTTTGTCAAACGTACTTAACCATGCAATGCAATAGCCTTCACCATTGCTGGATTTAGATCAAGTGGCACCCCTGCATGTTTTATTCACCATGTTATCCAATTTTCACACGCTCTGACAAGCGCGTGCAAATGTCATTAATTTTGTATCGTGCGCGTCTTGATTGCTTGATTGATGTCAAGCGTTGCTCCACTGAAATGTAGTTTTTACCATGGTCTTGCATATATCTACATCCTGGGTTTTATTTCCATACTCACAATAGCCGTTTCATCGCCTTCAAGCATTTGAAAATTCCATTGATCCTTCATTATTTCCAGCAAGCAGCGCGGCTCAGGAATTATTCCATCTGTAGGCAGTTGGCCTATCCTTCAAGCTTCGCGGGCCACGTGCTTCGTCAAGGTCCGTGCGCGAGCCACGAGGCGGTCACAAGTCGTGCACGGAGGCGTGCTCCCCGACAACAGCTTCGAACCCACATCGTCATCCCGACAGAGCGGTTCCACCCACAACAGTCAACACCATACGGCGCGCTCGCGGCAGTCCTCCCAGAACGGCACTGCCCACAACAGTCAACACCATACGGCGCGCTCGCGGCAGTCCTCCCAGAACGGCCCTGCCCACAACAGTCAACACCATACGGCGCGCTCGCGGCAGTCCACCCAGCGAGCCCGCTCATTGCTGTAGATATAAAAACGACGCCCCTGTCAAAAGTGTCCTCTAAGGTTACCAACATAAAAAGTTTACTGACTGGGCTCCCAGGCATCTACCGCTGTAAACACAAAATTGGCGCGAATAAATGAGGTACCCTGAACACAGAAATGGCATGCACGAAGAACTAGGTGCTGTAAACATAACAGGAAAACAGAACAGAACCAAAAAAACAGGGAACCACAAAATAAGTAATGTTAATAAATTCATGAGCAAAATGTCTTATGTGGTGTAGACGACATTCAGTATACTAGAAGCTGCTGTTTAACGACGTTACAATGCTATTAAAGATTATATTAACGGCGTTCGGTGATTCGGGTTGTGCTCATCCTCGAGAGGCCATCCTTGTCCGACTATTCAAGATCAGTGCAGCTCAAAATATTAAATATCGCTAATATAACCGTCATTTAGCACTACAATGTCGTTCAACAAACATCTATTGGTACCTTAAAGGCCGTATCTCTACATAAGACGATTGAACTCATATTGCCGAAAAACCACAAGCTGAAGACCTGTCTTTCTTATCTCAAGTGATCATTGATTTTGAGTAGCATGATGAAGAAACCGTATTGTAACACAAATTTTTGACTTTCTCGGACATGGGCGTAATCACGTCTGTTGAGATTGCAGAGGACAAATCAGGATTGCAGGGGTGAAACTGGAATCCGGATGAGACAAGCTGACCTGAAAATGCATTTTCAGTGGGAAGATTTGAAAGGGACAAGCAATCTTTAGACAAAATTGGGGAGACGAAATCACACACACTGGCATGCGGAACGGAAAAATATCACGTTTTCTGTCCCTAAATCTCCTTAGATGTTCCACCGTCACCGTATATGATGTGGTAGCCGGAAGACAGGAGATAAAGGACGGGAGGCAACTGGACAGGATAAAACAGGTTATCACCCGGGGTAGCGTGAGGGAGGACAAAGTACAACAGCATAGAAGAGAATATAGTAGCACAGGACATGAGATGACAAGGCAGAACAGGGGATGACGTAAGTCAGGACAGGGCTAGAGGTAACATGACATGCCAGGACAGGAAATAAGATAAAAGCACAGCACGGCACAGCACATAGGAAGATGAGTAATGGCTCTAATGAGGATGGGCAAAATGAAATTTGCCAAAATGAATCAAAAACATATTTGTCTGTCCACCCTCCCCCAATTACAGTATGAGCTTCGGCTCTTGCACGACCCGCCCCGCCCCCTCTGTCCTCCCAGCACTGCCCAGTGTCGTCGTCAGCGCTTCACATATAACACCGGTGTTCACCCGACCGTGCAGCACTGCTCGGCGATCTACGGCCGGCGCCGGCGGCGGGCGCCAGCCGACGATTTCGCAGATCGCGCACGGCGGGACGACGTAGTTACGTTAATGGAGCCATGCATCATAAAGATATGCTAAAAACACATAAAATCACATTGAGCTCAGAATTGAACAAAGAGCATGCTATTTTAGACTTCGTGTCACTTCAAAGTCTATGAAATATAAGCATGTAAATCAGAAAAGTAGACTTTCAGGACAATTTAATCTTTAACCTGGCATAATGGGGTAAGCTATGGAGATAAAAAGATCCAATCGCGAGATATCGTTGAAACAAGCCCGTTGGTATGTTCCGCTAGACTCTATATTTTTCAGTTTGGACGCAATACGGAGTGGCATCGACCTCCTCCCTATCAGCTCGCTTTATAAAAAAACGCCACTCGTTGTTATCACTTGTGTGCTTTCTTTCAAATGACCGGTCATTTTCATGTACACTGAGTGCGCGTACAGCAAACAAAAAGTGCACCCGTGCAACAGCAGGTTGCGGGGGTACAATTTCCTACTCAGTGAGGGTGACATATTACCTCCCACCCACCCCTCACCCCCTCCCTGGTTCCCCCTTCTGAACTAGTTCAGTTCCTGGCAGAAAACAGCCATGTCCCTCCATCCATTGTCATTGAAGATCCTAACATTTCGGGTGCAAATTGAACGAAGCCAGTGACCTCTGGAACAGGAACTAGCTGTATCGAGCTACGAGTTCAGCGACTTACGACCATATCTGACTGGTTGCTGGGTTAATATTGTTATTGGGCATAAACAGGTCACCCGAGCGATGGTTCCGCATCATATGGAATGAGTGGGGCCGAGCACTGTTGTGTTAGCCTCGCCGTGTATGTAAGTCCACCCGAGGCAGCTGCCAGTGCCCTGCACCGATAGTTACCCGTGGTTACCCTCTGTCAAGGGCAATAGTTGGTACGCTCCATAGAGCAATCTTTCCCTCCTTCAAGCGTAGCATAATTTATGAATGGCCACATAACCAGTTTTGCTGCATGCCTTTTAAGCTGCACCAGGAGCTTCTGTTTGGGTTTGGTCATTCATATTTGATTATTTGAAGTTTGGGATGTGGCATCACATTAAAAATGGAATGGTCTATTTGCTGCACAGCTGTATCTCCCTAATATTGTAGTTGCTTTGTAGCTCAAAGTATTCCTGCTTACAAAAAAAACATTGTGCATATCTGCCGTACAGCCATTTGCCAGTCAACAAACCATGGCAACTATGGGCAACATCTTGTTAAAGCAGGCATGAGGGACCGTTTTAACAAATTTGGGGCACATGATTAAGAGCATGGGACAAAATATTTGAATGGCATGTCATGTGGCATCGTAATTTGTCTCATGAATAAAATTTGATGGATCTCAAACAGAAAATTGGCCAAACCTTGCTACAAATAATGTTTAAAAAGCAGGAAAGGTTGGCAATTAGGTGTTCCACAGAAGATCACTGGCTTTTCGGGGACAGGCTTCTTTCTGCTCCCCCAAACAAAAAGTCGGTATCTCTCGCATGATTTGCTGACAGATAGGGCCATCCAATCCACTGACAAAGTATCAAATTAATCATACCCACCAACACACAAGATTAAAGTGTGAAATAAGTAAGAGGAGCTATGCACTTAAGATATGAGAACACAGTTTTGAGGGGCAGAATATTTCTACCAAACACTTCTGCATTAGCTGCGCAAGGTCTGTCCCTAAGCTATGCATGGCAGGATAATTATTGCCATAGGGATCCAGGTTCTGTGGAGCCTTGTCTATGTTTGGTGGATTCAAAGGAGCTCGGTCTTGGATGACATTTTAAAACCTCTGAAAAGGAAATATTGATTAAGTACATGTGTATTAATGTGGTTAGGCAATATTAGGTAGGAGTCAAATATTCACAGAAAACATCGGGAGGAGGAGTGAAATATTGCTCCTCACAGGGTGTTGCTTCACCCAAAGTTGGCAATTCTAGCACACTGCTTCAGGAACCTTTATGACTAAGTTTCCACCCTGTCGCTAGCTGACGTGCGCTGAAACAATAATGTTATCATCATCATTCACCCCGTCGCGCACCCGCAGCGGCGTGTGTTGTTAGCGTTTTGGTATTTTGCGGACTCAGCAACCCAGCAAAAAGACTTCTCTCAGTTGGTAGCCTGGCAGCACATTCGCTGTTCGAGCGGGGTTTTCATATCTACCGGAATATTTACGCGCCTAGCAGGCACTCTGAAAACACTCAGTCCATGGATCTGCCCCGGCACTGAATACAGAGCATCGACAGAGGCGCGGGCTCGTTGGCCGTCGATGTTGGTAGCAGCTTTACACCGCTACGCTGGCGCGGAGTGCGGTCGGTCCCGGTGCTTTGAGCTCAGAGGTGCCAGATGTGCCTTGAGCCGAGAGGACGAGAACGGGCCGCTAATTTGCAGACGGTCGCAGGGTAAATGAGGTCAGAGACTGTGCGTGGCGCGCCGCCAGTCTAGTTAAACTAACTAAACAAGATTAATTTGCCGCGTGCGTGCTTTTGTAATAATGCATGGGCAGCTCGAAAGGCTGATGAAACAATTGTCATCAGGGAAGTTGACAGCAGAGGAGCCGGGGCATGATTTCCTGGGTTAGCACATTGTGGCTGTGTACGGTATATGTCCGCCGTTTATTGTATGCTCTAATATACTTGATGGTGTCAGGCATGATCTAGCGCGGTTTACAACGAACAGACTGGAGCTAGGACATGTAACACTTTCCACCATTCACATTGGTTTTAAATATGAGCGAAAGGGAGGAACGTTTATTTTGACATAGCATGCCGAATGCGAGCTGTTGATCCGTACGCCACTTAACGTTGAAAATCGGTTATTGTGATAGGAACGAGCTTGTGGTCGAGAAAACCGATGCCTATTTTTGCACATGCTTACATTTCTTCGTAAGCAATGTTGCCAGCGAAAGATAGACAGGAAACAGTTAATGCACGTCAAATGTGACACAAAATCAATGCCATCTTTCAAAGGGAGTAACTTCGTACGCATCGTCAGTTTTCAGACCTTATTCTAACAATAATCGACCATGGTTATACCAAAAAGTACGGGTTACATGTCGTCAACAAGGAAGAATTGGCTATGTCGACAAACCCCGCGTTTCAAGCTGTGTTGATGTTCACAAGTCGAGTCGTTCGTGTTCCTCAGCAAGGTTTGAAACGTGGAGCTTTGTCCATGCAGCTGATGTTTCCTTAATAACGTGGTTTAACCAGCACCTTCATGGATATTGGAAGTCGTTTGTTGTCGAAATGAAAGCTCTTAATTCACAACGCTTAAAGACTAGGAGCGCAAGGCCTTTGTTGCTTACATTTCATATTTCATGCATGACAAAGGGGATTTGAGAGGACTGGATCAAAATCAAACCAGATATATGTGGAATTGTCGGAAGCAAATGTTGCCTTATAATGCAGCTGGCAAGATTCGAGCTGCCCTGTATCCATATTATCAATGTTTAGTAGGTGTTTTATCTAGTATATTTAGCATTGTATTTTGTATTGCATGAGTATTGGGCGCTTCGCTGGCCGCTGAAGTCTTTTGGCGCAAACCAGTAGACGAAGCAAAGAAGTACACAAGTACGACAAATCCTGTGCTTTCAGCTTCATTATAAAACGATAGCTGAACTCCTCAGAAAACCATACTATTCAACGAATCCGTGGATGAAACATAAATTTGTTTGAGCTATGCCAAGCGCATTTCGGTTTTTGGTATGACCACGTGTGATACATGATTGAAAACGCTTCAGAGAACGATACATTTGCCTTTCCCAACCATTGTCGTGTTCACGGTTCTCTGACCAGCGCTAACCGGTTAGTGAGCTGTCCAATATGCGCCTGAGAGTAGTAGGCTGCTACTTCTTCAACATGGGAGGCCATCGATGTTACGCAGCGCGAATAGTATCAGCTGCATTGTAAACCATAATCTTGGGCTCGGCCACATATACGGCCGTCAGCGGGCCCACGGATGAATAAGGAAATCGTTCAGTATTATATATTTCTAGGACACCGTATCAAGCAGGCACACACTTTCTTCCATGCAGTTTCTCTGTAATTCCGTGCAAAAGGTATCAGTAAAGCCATCAATTGCGCGCGCTTAACAAATGCAACGGTAAACCTTTTAAATATTTTTCTTCTCAGCTGAACTGTGTGCATTTCCATAAACTGTTTGCAAAGAGCTCGGCGTTGACCACTACGGTCGACTGGGCTGAGCGCCCCACCCTTCCGCCCGGATAGTGGAGTGGCTCCCCTTTCCCCCAGATGGTGTAGCGGCTCACCTTTCCCCAGATGGTGGAGCGGCTCACCTTTCCCAAGATGTTGTAGCGGCTCACCTTTCGCCCCAGATTGTGGAGCGGCTCACCTTTCCCAAGATGGTGTAGCGGCTCACCTTTCGCCCCAGATGATGGAGCGGCTCACCTTTCCCCTAGATGATCAGGCGCCCCGCCCCTCCGCCCGGATGGTGTAGCGGCTCACCTTTCCTCCAGATGGTGTAGCGGCTCACGTTTTCCCCAGATGGTGTAGCGGCTCACATTTCTCCTAGATGGTGTAGAAGCTCACCTTTCCCGCAGATGGCGGAGTGCCTCACCTTTCCCCCAGATAGTGGAGCGTTCGTCGATGAAGTACTGGTCGTCCTTGACCGTGCGCTTGTCTCCGCTGACCACCACCTTCCACTCGGCGTGCGCCTTGCCCCGGAGTACCACTCTGATGGCTGGAGGCAAGGTCACGGTCACGGTCAAGGCATGCAGAGCGTCCTGAAGCTCGGCTGCTTCAGATACTCTATAGTCGATCGAAAGGTGGTTTGTATCATGTCTTCCACTCGCCAACCACTCGAAATCGATTGAGGAAGTCCAGTGAGCGACATTATTTACCGTACATTGCATAATGTTGACATTTAGTAATCTTGGAGGCGTTCAGACCCCCAAATCCCACAAAAACCCTTAAACATGACTGCAACAAACAAGGCATGTGCGCAACGTTTTCACTTAGTTACAAAGCGCTACTGACAAGGCATTCAAGAGCCTATGTTGAATTGCTCTGAGGATAGATATGTGAATGATTTTCAGCACCGGCCTTGACTGATCCGGCAGGTATATGCCAAGCATAGCTTGCTGTTTGTACGCCGAATCCGTAAAGTAATAATTTCGGTCCAACAGATGGCTTTTCTCATCGTCTTTGTATATCCTTATTAATACCAAAATACAGCGAAACGGGTGTTTAGCGTTACCTCCGTGTGGCCAGCACACCACTGCTGCCCCATGACCTGCCCACTGGGAAGCTCAATGCCACAAAATTGTTGACTTGCCACGCTGCTAGAGATGCTGTGGTGTGAATGTTCGGCCATAGCATTTTTTTTCGTGTGGCATTCATGTCCATAAGAGACGTTTTGAAAACACAATCTTCGTCGTGTATGTCTGTTGACGTAAGGTCACGCGCACATTTTATTCTGTCACGTGGGAGCTTTTCCCATGGGAGTTCTCGTGAATCGGTCTAGTCCGTAGAAGTTGTGGGGCGCGGAAGTTTTACCGTAAGCGTTTCGCCCGTGGAGGAAATATCGTGTAAAAGTTTTGTCCATACCAATTTGTGGGGTGGGAGAAATGTCACAAAGCTAAAAGTTCAAAAAAAGTGCGCGGACAATTTGCTAAGTGGTGGTTTCGTCCCTAGACGTTGTGTCGCGTGGAAGCTTTGGCGGAAGAAGTATTGTCGTGTCGAGGACGTCATATCGTGTGAACGTTTTGGATATTTCTATACGAGCAGTTATGTCGCTAACAGGTTTTGTCCATAAAAGTTGTGTCGTGTACATATGTTGAACATAGAAGTTGCTTTGCTTGTCGGAGTTTTGTCTTACAAAAGCTTTTCCCTTGGAAGGTATGTCGTGTACACATGGTTCCGTAACAGTGTAGTTGGTATAAACTTTTGCGGTAATGAGCGTGATATGGAATCAATTATTTACCTACGAATGACACCAGATTAGATACGCTGCTCACCGGTGGCGAAATTAAATTTGAAATTTGCCTTAACTCGGGCGCCGCATTTTGATTCCCAAGATGCAAAGCAGCAAGCTTTTTGAAATGTCAATGTATTCATTGGTATTCCCTCCGATTTCCAGAAGAATAACTGCTGATGTGATTTATGGTACGCCCAACGCGACACGACTGAGCGTAAATCAGAACTGATAACATTGGCAAGCGTAGTAGATCATGGAAGCGGCTCAGATCCTCCGCTTTAGCCGTTCGTGCATTATAAATTGCGTGACCATTTTTGTTTCTTTTATGGTTAGGACCCCCAATTTCAAACGAGAAAATGTTATTTCATCAGTTGGTGAGTAGCCTACATCAATTTAAGCCACCGAATTCGATGTCAGATGCGGTTCTGACATACATTGATGGACTAACATCGAATGCCGCTTTTCCACACGCATGCCTAGAAATAAAACCTCTCTTTTCATTGCTTGTTCGACTTCTGTTATTGTTTCGATGAGGGCATGCTGCCAAAATATCAATCCATCTATATCTCTATTCTCCTGGTTTTTCTCCGACGAATATAGCTATTACTACTGTCTTATCTATGTTTGTAAAAGTATCCCTACATATCCATGCAGAAGGTTCGCCCACCAGGATGTATCCTGCGTATATCTTTTGCCATTGTATCTTCCCAGATAACTAAATACTGGATAAACAAATCCCTCTCCTTTTCTTGGTTATCTGTTGTGACTCGAGAGTGAAAGACACAGGAATAGGGGCGACGATAGTGTAGTGGTTAACGTGTCTGCGTTAACCTCTGCGTGTCTGGGAAACCAGAGATACGGGGTTCGATTCCCGCGGTGCCCGCCTTTCCTGCCAGGGTGAGAGGCAGGCGACGCAATGTAGCTTCAGCAGCTGAGTGTGTTGTAACACCGCAGTGACACACACACACACACGCACACACACACACACACACAAGCGCGCGCGCGCGAGCGCGAACGCACGCATGCACACACACACACACACACACACACACACACACACACACACACACCACACACACACACACACACACACACACACACACACACACACACACACACACACACACACACACACACACACACACACACACACACACACACACACACACACACACACACACACACACACACACACACACACACACACACACACACACACACACACACACACACACACACACACACACACACACACACACACATACACACACAACAGAAACACGAAATGTTTGGCACCAGTAAACAAGTATACTGCCTTCTGTTTTGAAGACCAAGGCTCTGTTGTTAAGACCTATGTCATCAGGTAGTCAGCATTCATGTCAGGGTGACATCAGTACCACTATTTTAGCCCCTTTTACGTTAGCGTTTATTCGACCCATACCTAATTTGGTCCACCGTGCCTAAATCGCTGAAAATGCGATAAGCGGGGGGTCAGGCCTATCAAAAAAGCTGGTAAACTTTACTCCGAGGCACTGATTTTTGTCGTCGTGAAACAATTCGTCGCCTTACGTCTCTGTATGTTACGTCCCATGGGAACAAATCATTAAGTACCGAAAACGTAAAATGACGAATAAGTACATAATAGCGTACAAAAACCATTTGGAGCCAAAAGTTACGGCTATTTTGATAGTCTGACGACGAACCATAGTCCTGCGCCTGTTTATCCGAAGCTTCGAGCAACTATGGGTTTGGTACCAGATTAGGCCATCCAATAAGTTTGCATGAAGAGGCGCTTGTGTATCAAATTTGGAGATTGCTAATTTTGAAGCTATTGCTTGATGTGCGATGACACCATTATGCCAATGTTTTCTATGACATCGCAAGGGGACTCTACAGATCAAGCCGGATCTCCTTGGCGACGCTGGACCATCTTGGGTTGATCAATCATCCTCTGCCTTTGTAATGGTATGTTAAAGATGCTAATAATCATGTTAAAATCTGTCTATTTTGAATACTGAAAAGCTATATAAAATTCTGCGTTCCGATACCCTTGTCGTCAAAAGATGCATTCGTGGCAATGTCACGCGTGAACTAGAACGACTGGTTATCTCAGATACATTTAACACTGTGCTAGGCACCTCACGGTGGATTCGTATTTTCAGAACATGTTTATGTTTGGAAAGGAATCAACCACATGTATGCTATAAATACACCGCTTAATGCGCACTCATTTCTGGGCGAGCTACCGTACCCCCAGCTCACTACGCCATCCTGTGTCTGGAAAGGCACTAATGCTTTCTCATTTGCCTTCTCCGTCTTTTGTGCACGTTCTTCAGCAAGCTGATTTCAAAGCTCTGGCGATCGCTTCGACCCGCGTGACCGGACTGGGTCGAGTGGCCGCCCCGGGAGTTCAACGCCACTTGCGGCCAACCGCAGTCGCGCGTGGCGGCCGCGCCCAGACCGCCGCTTTCTCGGGAAGCGGTCAGCCAACAAATCCATGGGCTTTGTTGACTCTGGGCTCTTGTTCTTTGTTGCGAGAAGCCAGCGATTCTGACGTCAACGTCGCCGGGAAACAAGACGCAATCGCTCGTGACGGGCGATGGGAGGGCAGGGGGAGAAGCGCCAATTGCGGAAGTGGCCACTGCAGTTTCCTGGTGTCCAAGCCGATAGCGAATTGTCCCAGGCGAAGTCGGAATAAAGAGATTGACAAAATACAAAATTTGATGCCAAAGTGCGGATGATTTCCAGGCAGTTTTTACTTCGCTAATGTCTTGCAGCAGCCGTTTTCGCGATAGCTAAATGCACTGAAACATTTTTAGAATTTTGTCTCAAAAATATTTATAGCATGTTTAAGCGTAAAGTTAATGCTTTGACAAGGAAAATATTGTTTTCAAGCAATGTCTTAAACATTCAATAGGTAAACAACGTGTATCCAAGTAAGAAAAAGTTAGTTGTATTCAGTGATACTCTAAATAAACATTTCCTCATCCCACGCCTTTGGTTAACCAAAATATTTATATATAATAATAATATATAATAATAATATTTTAGGAAAATATCAGGCAATCAGCAACCCTGCGACGTGGACCGGTCGAGGGCGTTGGATGCTGGCTGCATCATTCTTGTTTTCATCTGTTCTGTGTGGAGCAAAGAGAGCAAGGCTTTGAGGGTCATTTCATTCAAGGATCATTCATCTTGGATCATTTTAGGGTATAAACCATGTAAGCTTTGCCAGTGCTGTAAGCAAGCTCTGTTAGTACTGTAAGCAATGTAATTGAGGGCTGTAAATACCGCATACCCATGAACAGGGACGCCGCAAGGATATAGTGGTAGATTTGTAGCGTCTGCATCAGAGATGCCACCAAATGTTCTTCAATTCTGTAAAGTTTCGATAGGGGGAGACCTGGCATCACACCAGTCCATAAAACAAGATTCTTTCATACAGCCAGCGAATCGCAATTTCACCAAGTTATGCTTGTTTGAAAATGTGTTTTTGAATACCTGCGGCACATTCCTTTCCAAAAATTGCTGATAAAAGGTGTGAGGCCGCTGACAAGTTTTTTAAACTTTTAAAAAGTTTTGCACCGTAATCCTTCGTGAAAACGGCTATTTTTTTATTTTGTTTTACACCCGAGTTCCTAGCCTAGTTGCGCCCAAGCTAGCCATGACCAGTGGTGCACTTTTTATTATTAATGCCTCCTTCCAACTTCATTTGTGTATTGTTATCACCCAACGGCGGTGAACGTAATAAGGTACATCCATGATATGACGTGCGGATTTCCAGCGATTGTTTTCGTCCAAAAGTGCAAACAAAACCAAAATTTTTGTTACTAAACATTATGAAGTTGAAATTTATAACATTTCCTGAAAATTGCATATTTTTGTTGTCTACCTGAATTCTTTTCTAGATATTCAACAATGGCGCATGACGTGGAGCTTGTGTCGTCTGCTGACAGGAACGCCGCCGTTTGAGCTACGGCTTCATCTTTCGTCCAAGGCTATATGTAGCAAGGTAAACTTGTTCGATCCGGAAAAGTAACAATATCCAGGCGTGAGGTTTTTAAAAAATGGGCGACTGTTTGATTCATTTTGATGAGACAATATGACGTCACTTGAAGTGTAGGGCGGTGCCAAGGTAGCGCAAAGATACAGCTTATAGGCACCTGATGGCCAGTCGGTTCATCAACGCAATATGTTAGGCAATCTTTATCAAGCTAAGAAAATGGCACGGTTCCCTGTGTAGTAAATATGCTTCTCAATGTGACTTGGTTTATGTCATCGTAACTCGCACAACATTAATCGAGTGCCAATCGACAGCCGCTATACCTGGAAATCGCGCTCACGACCACCAGATTTGAGCACCTCGACAACTCTATTTTTCTTGATCGCCGCATGGCTTGTGGAATGGCAGGATTTGAACGATGTTATTATGACGTCATAAATTCCAAGTGACTGAAGCGCTCTCCCTGATACTCTTCACCCATCTTCGTGGCCATTTAGCTCAGGACATAAATGGGCTTAGGTCTTAATAGGAGCGGGACTGTAAATAGCACCGAAAGTTTTCGAGGGTGACTATTTCATTTCAAAATCCCATATAAATACGAACATTTCTCTTTCAGCACTTAGTTTTTGAGAGTGTCATGAACAGTCCTTAGTATTTGCCAGTATAGCTGCTCTGAAGTACTAAAAATACCGCTTGCCTGCCCCTGTATGATCTTCGACCATTCGAAATACTTCACCTCCCAAAACCATTGAGCACCAAATGCTGTCAAGTACCATACGTGCTGTCTGCAAGTGCTTTTAAACACCATTCCTTGTGTCCTGAAACTGCAAAGTAAATGGAGTCGAGTGAAAGCCTACTCATTCTTTTGGTTTTAACAATCTATCTTCCATAAGGGAGGTGACGAGTCCAGTCCTCTTCAGCGCTTTTGAAGTGCGCAATTTAAGTAAAAAGTGTTTAGCATGAGTTCACAAAAGCAAATGGACAGAGTTGCCTGTGCTGATCGATTTCGTGTTACTTATAGATGACCTTATGTGTTGCCTACTGTGTTTTGTACCTGACCTGATGTCAATGACAGCCAAATGATAAACACACATTCCTCAAACGAATTTCATCCTCGCCCAGATTTAGCACGAAGTACTTGGTCAAGTGCCAGGTATATGACCTAACCCTATGCAAAAATGAAGCTTGAAGGGTCTTTTTCACTAACTCGTTTTGCTTCTAACTCATTTTCCCCGGCCTGATAAGAAATGCGTTATTCCTCTTCGTTTTTTTTTTTTTTGGATGTGCCTGTTTAACTGTCGTCTATTCAACATGGGATCGTTAAAACCTGTCTGCTGGTACTAATTTTTGAACGCTTTTTTGATGAGGTTTGGCTGTAACACAATAAACAAGCTGTTTTTCTCTTTAAGCGTTCACTAGACAACATACCATTACATTCCTAGTCCTAGTTACGTCATTTCTTACTAATTCAACAGCTAGCTATTTAACTGAGACCTTCCGTACATCATTTCAGCATCCTTAACGTGTCGCACCGGTTTCCATCCTTGCAAGGGTTAGCTCGCCGGTGACAACCCTGATTGCACAGCAGAAGACCGCCCGCTCATCCGCTAGCTACTGTACCGGAATACACAGCGTGCTGCGCCGCACTACAGGACATGCTGTTCCGCAACACATCGTGCTGCCCGGCGGCGGGCGCATGCGAGCCGGACGATGCAGCAGCTTGCGGAGGAACGCGGTCGGTTAATGTTACCTATCACCTATGCGGTGCGGGAAACCATGACCACAACAGCACCTATCGCATTATGGGTGAGTGGTCGGCATGATTTATAAGGTGAAAATTGCTGGTCATCAGGTCTCAACGAGGCAAATTTCAGGTCCGTGCACGGAAAACCACGATCACACCAGCGGTTATCGTATTATAGGTGAGTAATCGACACGAGGTCTAAGGTGATAATTTTGGGACATCAGGCACCGCCAGCAGGTCTTAACGAGGCAGATTTCAGGTCCGCGCATGAGCAGCCATTGCCGATGTTTTTATCCGGTACTGGAAAATGTCAACCTGTGTTGAATGCAATTGAAGCTGGAACAATGCTCGTGCGTGTCAAACAGTGCTAGCTTTCTACCGGTGCTCGCGCATATAGACTGATGACGCGAGGGAACCGGTACGACAATTTTAAAGGTCTGGCATCTGCTACCTACCAAAAACGATTCAATATATCCCGTTCAGGTGCCGCCTTAGAACGGTTGTGCTGAAATGTTCGGGAACACTAATATTTGTGGATTTGGCCTTAAATGTTGCCTCAGTTCGCCTGATGACGTGATCTAAAACAAGTTTTGGCTTATTTGATCGAATGAATGACAAATGTGTGACGTTAAACTCACCTGGCATGGATACAAATGTCAATGCCAGGCGACATTGAAAATCAAATGAACGGAAAAATGAAAGCTAGATATGTGTGTCTAGCATGGTCCCGCAATACGTTCTGATCATCAAGGTTTGATTCCTGCACATCTGGCCAAATGAAAATGTAACGTAAGTTGTTAAGTGCGTTTGCGAGTAACATAATACAGTAATGCAGATAAGTCAGTATTAAAAGCCTTATCCCCCGTTGAATAACCCGAAGAATGCACAGATAACTGTACTTTTATCTCAATGAGTATTGTAATTTAGGTTGGACGATGTTTGAGTGATGGGACATGATAGTAAAAGTAATGCAATATCCAATGTCACCGTTACATTCATTTACGACGACGAAGCGCTCAACGTCGCCTGTTAATCAGGCCTCAGTTTCGCTTAGCATGTGTTTTTCCATGACCAAACAAAACTTAAACATAATGAACGCATGTCTCGCTAGGCAGTAACTGATTCCATCGAGTGATAACTCATTTCAATTATGGCTTCCGCCGTGGAGTTTTGTCGAAAAAGTCGTGTTTGGCTCCACGAACCGAGAAAGAAGGGCTCAGCAACGACTCGAATAATGCATAAATGCATAGGCCGGATGTTGTCTTATGCAACCATTGCCTGAACAGCTGTTCAAAAGACTGATGCAGCGGTGCCTCCCATAGATCGGAAAGGATTCGTGAATGTCGGCGTGGTTAGAAAATACTTGACAGACTTTGCTTGTAAACACGTTCCTGTTGTTGCATAGTAAATTGACACGAGTAGTTTATCTTGTATGATGTAGCTGCTGCATGATCAGCGGCATAGCCAGACCGTGGGACTGCTGGCTCCGACCACACGACCTCACTGACCTCTGAGCTTGAAGTTCTCGACGGTGTCGAGGATCACCTGGCCAGCCAGAGTCTCCCCGGCGTAGTACATCTCCTTCTCCAGCCGGATGTCGAACTCTCGGATATAGTCCATGTCGGCCTGAAACAGGGGACACACGGTCACGGGGTGCAGTACACCTCCTTCTCCAGCCGGATGTCGAACTCTCGAATATAGTCCATGTCAGCCTGAAGCGGGGGATACACGGTCACGAGGTGGTCCCCGAAACAGCACGGGGCGCCATCGCCGCACGCTGAGCGTGCTTTTGCGACATCCGCCGAGGTGCTCAGTGACGACAGCAAAGAAAACGTTTCATAAGTCACGCGTCCGCGCGATTCCGTAATTTAACCAATTTCCGAGACGCATTCGTTTTCCGCCTCTTCGTTTCTTTGTCATCAGTGACAGCGCTGTTTTGTATGAACTGTTGCAGCTCGGAAACACTGGATAATTATACCTACAATTTTCCTTTTGATTGAGAAGCGAATTGAGTGAATCCCTTAACAAAAATTGTTTTGAAATTGCAGGCGTCTCGGTGTTGCATTCAGCTCATATTCAACCCGCAAAGCATTGAGCTTCAGATGATGTGAAGCTTAAGTTTCACAAAGGGCGATTGTTCCCATTTCTCGTCACTTGAGAAAACTGGGATTTTAGCATGCGTTGGAATGGGTGGGTGGATGGATTTACGGTAGGATGATATGCGGTCAGATTGGGCAGTAACAAAATCGTACAAGCCATCAGGCTTAATACCCTCTAGCAAGATGCATGCAGCACTGTTACATGTGTAATGAAGGCTGTAACATCTAGACCTAATAGCTCATCTTGTGGAATACTCCCAAGCGATCTTGTCAGTAACGCAGTCCTTATCATGTCCTCAGAATGAGCTCACTTCCTAGCATGAAGATGCATACCAAAATATGATGAAATATGATAAAATATGATAAAAAAATACAAAATATGATAAAAAAACAGAATACAGAAGCAGAACCATTGCACCCTCCTGTAAGCTAGCACCACTTGTATGCATGCTCAATTGTAATGAAAAAACAGCAACGGCTGGCAACTGATGCGTGCAGTCAGCTGCAAGGCCTCCATGGTGTCAGCAACATCTCTATCCCACCGGGGCGAGGACTCACGGAGTCGGCATCAGTACACCGCCGGCGGCCGCCTGTCAGCGGGCCGGGCGCTGAAGAGGAGCGGAGCCGTGACGGGGCACCCCCTCCCCCCCCCCCCCGGCCGCGCTCGTTAGCCAGGCGGCATCGACCATTGGCCGCCTCGGTATTGACCTCCGAGTAGGCCGTCTCGCTCCGCCTCGGCCTGCCAACACGAAACTTGTAGCACAAAGTGGGCTGCGATGTCCCATTGACGAGCCACGCGGGAGGTTGGCTAATGGGGAAAGGACGGGAAATGGGAACGTGCACCACTCCATATGTAAACAAAAACGACAGGCCGCAAATCGATTCACGTTAGGGTGCGTGTACTTGATCAATGTTGCGTGGATAATGGTGGTTTCCCGTCGACAACATTGGCCAATGTGCAGCGGGCACTTATGATTTATTCCGTAGCTACGATCGCTGTTTGTGCCGTACTTTTATACATTACTGAACGCTCACTATGGTCAGATTTGATTTCAAAGCCGCAGCTAGGAAGGAATTCATCCAGAAGCGGGCTAAATCGGGGCCTAGAGGGGGGGGGAGGCTAACAGCCTAAGGTGCTGCTCTTCATTGCAGCTCAGGCCCTATTTTGATTCCTCGGTGATCCGTTTTTACGTTCTGAAAGCTTAATGGGCATATCAAACTGCCCAAATGTGGTGGAGGTTTTGTCCCCGGGGCGAGAGCCGCCACTTTCAGGGGAAGGGGCACGATCCTAAAAGCCCCCCACCCCTTGCTTATAGCTCCGTTTGAATTATCTTCATCAAAATGTAACTTTGCCGCGTAACTCTGAGTGCCGTGCCCGAACGGTTACCCCAAACCACCAGAGCACTTAAACATTAGCTGGGTAAAAAGGCAAAGGGTGCGGTTTCCTCTCCTATTCGGGAGCCAAATAATTCAGGGAACAGTTCCGAATAGTTGGTTTTTGAGACCACAAAAACCTGAATTAAAACAGGTCTTACAGTAGAATATCAAGCTTAGAGTAGAAGGTTAAGTTTAGCGTAGAAGCTTATAGAAGCTTAATTGCTTCTGGATACCTATCTATAAAAGGCCCCTCAAACCCCATACGTTTGGACAATCATAATATTGCAACGTTGAAGTCATCCTGCGTTATTGCATCTAACCAATAGTAGCCTAGCCTCAGACGTTACCTTTATCAACTCTTGTTCACTATTCAGGTAATTACTGTCCAGTATAACACGTCTTGCATTACAGGCGATGTGGCATAAGCCATGCGCGGCCGTTACACTTCTGACGCATGCATGGTTTTCATGCCACGAGGGTTGACACAACTCCTGGGGTCACCAGTTCAGGAATCGTGTTAGGGAGAGATTAGACGTCATCTCATCGTAACCAGCGCGTCGGCCAGGCTCTCTAGAGGCAATGCAGCGTCTGGCTCGTCAGGGTTAGCACATCAGTGATACAGCGTAACCAGCGCGTCGGTCGGGTTCTCTAGAGGCAGTGCAGCGTCTGGCTCATCAGGGTTAGCACATCAGTGATACAGCGCAACGACTTATCCCACCTGAGCCGAGGCAGCAGCCAGTCGCATAAGAGCCGGCGCAGCGCCGTACCCGCGCTACCGGCGCCGTGGCCGTATCCACCGGGGTCAGACAAGCGGCCGGTCCCACCGGGGTCAGAGCAGCGGCCGGTCCCACCGAGGTCAGAGCAGAAGCCGTTCCCACCGGGGTCAGAGCAGAAGCCGGTCCCACCGGGGTCAGAGCAGCGGCCGGTCCCACCGAGGTCAGAGCAGAAGCCGTTCCCACCGAGGTCAGAGCAGAAGCCGGTCCCACCGGGATCAGAGCAGCGGCCGGTCCCACCGGGGTCAGAGCAGCGGCCGGTCCCACCAGGGTCAGAGCAGAAGCCGGTCCCACCGGGGTCAGAGCAGTGGTCGGTCCCACCAGGGTCAGGGCAGCGGCTGGTCCCACCAGGGTCAGAGCAGCGGCCGGTCCCACCAGGGTCAGAGCAGCGGCAGCAGCCGGTTCCAGCAGCACAAACACATCCCCGTCCGAACCTGAGCCAGCGCAGTGGCTGGCCTCACGCGAGCCTCCGTGGCGATTCGAGGCGCGCGGAGCAGAGCAGCTGCTGGTCTGACAGGAATCGGAGCAGAAGCACCACCCACCGACTGCCTCACAACAGCTGCCCATGCCGGAGCAAGCGCAGCGATAGCGGTTCCATGAGACCCAGCGCAGCCCCCCCCCCCCCCCCCCCGGGGCTAGCGGGGAGGATGGCCGCATCGGAACCAGTACAACAGCCGCCAGAGCCAGCGCAGCCCCGGCCTCAACACAATTAAAACTGGCGCCCTGTAATAGAATGCCTTTAATTCTCTATCAGTTGTTGACGAAACTCTCCATCCTACGTAACTTGTTCAGTGCATTAGCGAGGAATATTATTCCTGTAGATAAGACAGCAATATTAGCCTTATTTCTTGGAAAAACCAGGACAATGGAGATATAGTTTGGTTGATATTTCGGCAACATGCCTTTATCGAAACAATGGCAGAAGTAAATTCATTTCTGCTATTGTTTCGATAAAGGCATGTTGCCGAAATATCAACCTTACTATACCTCCATTCTCCTGGTTTTTCCGAGGATAAGACTTAAATCTCAATCCTGTTTGCATCCAAAAATAAAACAAATAGTGGATTAGTCGTCGACATTTTAAAATGCTAAGCGCTGCCATGTACATAGAGCCTGTGATGTAAGCGACTCTCCATAGGAATAATAAAAACGGACCACGGGTTCTCAAACAAAGCAGGCGGGAACATTCTGGTTACCCTGGGCTTGGATTGTTTACATTCCTTGCCGCACCCATGTTGCCTTGTTTGCCGTTGCAGAAAGTAAACTGGCAGCGTGCCGGGCGCCGACCAGCGTGTGGCAGGCATACGAGGTCCCGTCAAAGAAAACACACCAGTGAGGATCGTCCCTGACGGTTAGCTGACAACTGGACAAAAGAGATGGAGCCTAGAAATTGAGCATCCGTGGTACAACGTGACGTTGCAGGTCAAAAAGTCGGAAAACTGACTTGTAAACTGGAAATGTTTCGCAGGAAATGCCGTTAAGAGAATTATTCTCGTTGTATGTATCCCAGTATTCCTTTTTCCTCAAATGCATTGACGGACTCGAACAATCATTTG